CAGATGCCATTAAGACACTTTCTCTGAGCCCTTTATCAGATACTTAACATATTATGCTGAAATTTTATCTTCGAACGTTTCTGTTTTCCCCACGAATCCATAATGTCTTGAGGGGAAGGGTTTTGTTTGACTCACCTTTAAATGCCTGGCGCAGACCAGGTGCCCAGGAGGCAGCTGCTGCGTTAAATGAATCGCCAAGGCCCCTGGGCTTCCACATGCAGGGAACACGGATGATCCACTGGCCTTTCGGAATTTCCAGACACGCGGGAAGGCCGCAGGCGAGGGACAGCCGCCGTTCCCACGGCGGGCGCGGACGAGAGCTGCGGAATGAGCCTCAGCCGCAGTGCTCTGGGAGGCAGGCAGATGGTGGTGGAGCTTCGCATGTGGAGGGGAAACACCCCCTGGCATCGAAGCAGAGCTAGTGACACTCGGCCCCGTGCCATCTGTTTCCGCGGGGACACGCCCCGCGGTGCCCCCGGCGGCGTTGCCGTGTCGGTCCTCACCGCGGCCTGGGAGGCTGCCAGCCTGTTGAGAGCTGAGAGCGATCAGAAGCAGAAAAAAAACTATTCAGCATCACTGCTCTGAATATTAAAAATAAAAGCTTTGTTACCTGCTTTGAAGCAGGGGAGAGGGACTGTGTTTACGTAACGTGTGAAAGTAGCATCCATAAGTGACATCCACTCCATCGCCACACTGAGGGTTCCCCTTGAGTTGTTGCAGAATCCAGTTCTCAGCAGTGGCAGGTGACCAGCCCCTTCCTCCCTCCCCCTTTGCCCTCCTCCAAAAAGTCTCTATAAACAGAGCGATTTGGGAGCCATCATAAACTGCAGGTTAATGTTCGTAGAAATGTTTTCAACCCTTCTCTTTGTTCCCTGTAGACGGGCACGATTTTGTCTGATTTTGATACCTATCTTCACCCTTCAGTAGGTGCTTCAGAGAAGGAGAAAGGAAACGTATTTCACGGTTTCCTCCTTGTTTTATTCTAGGAGCTGAAGGATGACTTGAAGGGTGACCTGTCTGGACACTTTGAGCATCTCATGGTGGCCCTAGTGACGCCGCCAGCCGTGTTCGATGCAAAGCAGCTGAGGAAATCCATGAAGGTACGAACCCTCCGCGGCCCTTTCTGCCCGGGATTCGGCCACTTCCCCGGGAATCACGACCTCCTTCCCGTGCATGCTGGGGACCTGGGCGGGCTTGGATGTGGTTTGGTCTGTGCCCTCCAAGTGCTGGAACGACTCTCAAACAGGGAACAGTTCTGGAGCCTTAAGCCCGAGTGTTCCTGGGCTGAAAGAATATTGTCATAGCCTTGTTTTGTTTGCTTTTTGTATGAGGCGTCAAATTCTCTATTTTGTTGTCATTGAAAGTCAATGGTCCTTGGCCGGGCGCGGTGGCTCACGCCTGTAATCCTAGCACTCTGGGAGGCCAAGGCGGGCGGATCATTTGAGCTCGGGAGTTCGAGACCAGCCTGAGCAAAAACGAGATCCTGTCTCTACTAAAAATAGAAAGAAATTAGCAAGACAACTAAAAATGTATAGACAAAATTAGCCAGGCTTAGTGGCACATGCCTGTAGTCCCAGCTACTCAGGAGGCTGAGGCAGGAGGATCGCCTGAGCCCAGGAGTCTGAGGTTGCTGTGAGCTAGGCTGACGCCACGACACTCTAGCCCAGGCAACAGAGCCAGACTCTGTCTCAAAAAAACAAAAGAAAGTAAATGGTCCTGTCATCAACCCCGTTGCTTAGGCTAAAAACCTAGTACTGTCCGTGAGCCTTTGTTCCCGGACCCTTCAGAGCTCCCAGCTCTATCAGCAAGTTCATTAGCTCTGCTCCGAAATCCACTGCGAATGTGTGCACACCCCACCCTCTTCCTGTTCACGATGTAGCTACTCTGTTCTCTTCTCTGCTCTTTGGACATAAGCTTATTCCTGCTTTGGGGTCTTTACATGTGATGTTCCTGCTACCTGCAATGCTTTTCCTCCAAACATTTCCTATTAATATTTTCTTAGCTGTGCTTGTTACCACCTAAAATTATCTTGTCTTTGGTTTTGTCCATTTGTTTATTGTCTTTCTCCATCTGAGCAAAAGGCAGACCTTCGTCGTGGAAGGAACCTCACTGGTCTTGGTCTGTGTCTTCTGCTCCCAGAGCAACACCCGCGATGAAGCAGGTGTCTCCACGTATGTGTTGACAGGACAGAGAAGAGTAAGACTTGGTCTGTGCCACGCAGTTTATTTGTTCCACGCCTGTTTGTTGAGCCGGAAGGTACCTGTGTCAGGAGACGTCCCAGGTGTTGGAGATAACACCGGCATAAACAGTGCTCTTTTTTCCTGGAGCTAACGTCCTGTTAGAAAAATTATAGACAAGTAAATAAAATAAGCTCAGATATTGGTAAGTGCGATGGGAAAATCAAAGTACTGGGAATGGCCCTGCCGTCCGTGAGGACTCCTTACCTCACTCTCAGCGAGACCAGGGACCCTGCTTCTGCCCTCCTGGGGGAAGAGCGTTTCAGGCAGAAGGTGCAGCAAATGCAAAAGCCCTGAGGTAGAAACAAGGTGGGAATGTTTGAGAAACAGGAGGAATTCCAGGAAGGTAGAAGGTGAAGAGCGTGGAGGAAAGAGGTGAGGCGGGAGGGCGGTTTAGGACGTGCTTAGCTCGGGGCTGGGTGCCCGGTTTAGATCTTATTCTAAGGACAGTAGGAAACCACTGGATGTTTATAAACAGAAAAATAATATAGTCCTATTTTTAAGAGTTGTTTTGGCTGCGGTGGAAAATGAACTGTCGGCCGGGCGTGGTGGCTCACGCCTGT